TTTTTTTTTTTTTTAAAAAGTAGGTTTTTTTTTTTTTTTTTTTTGGTAATGGGGCGGGTTGTGGAAACTATTCCCCAATGAAGGCGGGGATGAGGGAAAAATGCTTAACGGGGATGAGGATGAAAACGGCATACCCACCCCGATTCAATGCTGTTAATTTCACCCCATTCATATCTCCCTACCTATCTTATTTCTTCACCCCTCATTTTAAGGTTTATTAATACACTCATCCCATCCCCCATCATTTAAAAAAATGTCCCTACCCCTTCCCCTTCATTTTTCCTTTCCTTTGGTAAAAAGCGGTGTGAGAAAGTAGGATTGGGGACTTGTAACGAGGAAGTCATGAATCAAGAAAATCAGTAATATAGAAACGATGTGAGGAAGTAGGATTGGTGAGCGTTGTAACTAAACATGGATAGCATAAATAAGGAAATCAGTACTATAAACAGAAAATAAATTGGGATTGAATTACCTTCTCTTTCTAATTAATATAATAATTTCAGGTTCTTAAGTGAAACATGCCATAAAAGTTAAAATAACAAAAATGGAGAGTGTATAAATCCAACCTTTTGACCAACCGTAGGTCAATATCAACACATGGTAAAAACACGTGGCGGACTCCAATTGGTCTTCAAATACAACTTTCCTTTCACTAGCCTTTTCTTACTCTCCACGGCAAAACCAAACTCCTAAGTGCCCGTTTGACATTGTTTATTTGGGGCAATAAGTGATTATTTTGAAAATTAAGCCCAACATGTTTGGTAAAAGATAATAAAATCACTTATTTCGAATAATTGTTATGAGAGAAAGCAATTAGGGAAAGCATGTGATGAGTTGCTTTCATTTTTTGATTATGTGGTAATCCGTTTTGAAGAGGTGCTGAGTTTAATGAAACTTTCAAAATTCCAAAAATAACCCTGTCTTTTTTTTTTTTGGTACCAACCGCACTTCTAACAAAAAAGTTTACTAAATGCCAAACTACTTTATTTTATAGTTGATTTCTCTCATAGTAAATCTAACAATGATTATTTTTATAGTACAACAATGCCAAATTGGCCCTAAGTCAGGTGGAATCCATTGAAACGGACGGTCCAGATCAAACAAAGTCAAAGTGGGCTCTATGCACGACCACACGGATTGGTGTAACGGACCGTCACCCATGTTTATATAAATGGACACCAAAGCCGCAAACTAAGTCAAGTTGTTTAGTTCTCGTAATCCCAAAAACGCACAAAAAGGCCTAAAAGCTCATAGCCCGAACCCTGCATTAGAGCATTTCCAGCAGGGAGGGCAAGGGGAGGGCGGGGGGGGGGGGCAAGCCCAAAAATATGTTTCCAGCAACAAAACCCAGCCCGGGCAAGCAGTGGGACCCAGCGAACTGGGCTGGCCTGAGGGCCAAAACTTGTTTTGGGATGATGTCAGCGCGCTGACGTCACGACGACGTCAGCCCTGGTGTTCAAATTTTTTTTAACGTTGGCGCGTCGCCAACGTTAAAAAAAATTTGACGCGCCCTGCTACAGTCCCCTAACGGCTCTCTTCCTTGGGCTGCTGCTGGGCTCTCCGATTCGATTTTTTCCAGCAATCCAACGGCGACGATTTTTTTTGCAATAAAAAATTGAAAAAAAATTGAATTTTTTTTTAAAAAAATACTGAATTTGTTTTCTATAAATACCAACAAATACTCTTCACTTTTAACACCAAATCCTCATACATTTTCTTCTCCTTCTACTCAATATTAAGTTTTTTCACTTTCAAGTTGTATTTTTCTCTAGGAAATATTATGGGTTCTTCTAATGAAACCGGAGGGGCATGGAGCACGATGGAAGATATTTTGTTGAGTGAGTGTTGGGTCCAAATTAGTCATTGTCTCATAACGGGTAATGAGATGAAATTCTGTCAGATGTGGAAAAAAATTCATCAGGAATTTTGTGAAAGGGCAATGGGTTCGACCCGTACGGAAATGGCATTATCTAGTAGGTGGAAAATTCTTAATAAAGAGTTGGCGAAATGGAGAGATGCCTTGGCAAAAGCGATGAACAACCATAGAAGTGGGGAAAACCTTA